GGGAATAGTCCGAGAAGGGGAATAGCTGGGTCAAATGGTGGTTCCATTCCCAGCTTTCCAAGGAATCTCCATACTGCTTTTCAGATTGGCTGCACCAATTTGCAGTCCCACCAGCAATGTATATGTGTACCCTTTTCCCCATATCCTCGCCAGCACTTGTTGTTTGACTTCATAATGGCTGCCATTCTTACTGGAGTGAGTTGGTATCTTAGCATGGTTTTAATTTGCATTTCTCTGATTTCAGCAACTTTTCTTGAAGGATAATGAAAAGAATTATTTTCAATATGTGGCTCGTGAGTCCCAGAGGTTCAATTTGCTTAACATTATCTTGTCCTCATATTTGGTATTCTGTTAGTTTTTAAGTTTAGGTCATGAATTTGAAACCTAAAGAGTGTCTCAGGGGCTTTCATCAATCGAATGGTCAGAAGTGATTGCCTAAAATTCTAAATTTAATCATCTATTATGTAAATGTTTGTTTAATTTTGTAATAAAAATTTCTGAGAAAGAGGCAGCAGAATACAAATATTTGCTTGAACTCTTCATTTGAGAAAATTTGTGTGACCCTGAGATTCAGGAAAGAATACTTGGAGATGCAGGGAAAGAGGATAACCTAGTCAGCACAGTCCTTCTGAGGAACTGAATAGGATAATGACCTTCTTCTTCCCCAGGACAAATGGGAGCAGCTTATTGGACAGGACTCCCTAGAGATTTTTCAGCATGTCTCCCTGATGACCCTGGACACCATCATGAAGTGTGCCTTCAGCCACCAGGGCAATATCCAGCTGGAGAGGTCAGTGCCAAACTGACCTCTTGTTCTAACTAACTGGTGTAAATTTACCCCAGAGTCAGTGATGCATCTTGGATGCTCATAAATAAAATGGGAGATTTTTATCCTGGTCTTAGGCCAAGGCCTGATCCCTGACCAGACCCAAACATGCCCCAGACATAGGTCATTGGTTCCTGCATGGGGTAGAAATCTGGTTATCATGCCATCTTCTAAAATCCCAAAGCTCACAAGAGATGTAACACAGATACAAGATGTACCTCAGTGTTGTGTCCACAGCATTAAAGGAATCTCCTAATAGAACCCACACTGCTTCCAACTCATGTGGCTCCACAATCCAATCTGTTCTGCAATCTCTCCATCAGGAATTCCAAGTCCTACATTCAGGCTGTTGGGGATATGAACTACCTGTTTTTTTCTCGGGCGAGGAATGTCTTTCATCAGAATGACACCATCTACAGACTGACCTCTGATGGCCGCTTGTTCCACCATGCCTGCCAGCTTGCCCATGAGCACACAGGTTCTGTCTCTAATCCTGTCTCCTTTTCTTTACCAGGTTCAGTCTAAGAGATAGGGCCATGGCCCCTGAGACAGAGGCAGGGCACCTGCTAACAATGGAAAGAAACTAGGACACCCTCATGTTGACACTATCTTACTGAAAGTGTTAGGAGCTGAGATGTTAGTGTGTCAGGTACAGCACAATACCAGGATCATCATGTTAGCAGTGTTGAATGAGACCCATCCCACCAGCATTCATCAGGGATTCCCATGGCTATGCTCCGGAGGGAGGCCTGGCCTGCATCAGATGGTGCTAGACTCCCACACACCCACTCACCTGTGCATCCTGAGCTCCACAGGACATCCAGATTGTCATAGGGGTAAAATGGCTTATTAGGGGTTGTTGTAGCTGTGTATTTGCCTGGTAATTCCTATCCTGGGACAGATCAAGTGATCCGGCAGAGGAAGGCTCAGCTGCAGAATGAGAGAGAGCTGGAGAAGATCAGGAAGAAGAGGCACTTGGATTTCTTGGACATCCTTCTGTGTGCCAAAGTGAGTATGTGGTGGGTGGAAAAACCAGAGACTTTGCCTAGGAGAGGGAGGAAAAAACCCTACTCTCTCATCCATGGACTCCCCAGATGGAGAATGGGAGCAGCCTGTCTGATGAGGACCTGCGTGCCGAGGTGGACACCTTCATGTTTGAGGGCCTTGACGCCACAGCCAGTGCTATCTCCTGGATCTTCTATGCTCTGGCCACACACCCTGAGCATCAGCAGAAGTGCAGGGAGGAGGTCCAGAGCCTCCTGGGGGACGGAGCCTCCATCACCTGGTGAGTGAGAGCTCAAGAGGTGGGAGAGTCCTGTCTATGGTAGGGGCAAGGTGCTGGTCTTCCTGGGCCCTGCCTGCCCCTCAGGATGGCCTTCACTTCAGGGACCACCTGGACCAGATGCCCTACACCACCATGTGCATCAAGGAGGCCCTGAGGATCTATCCACCAGTACCAGTTGTTGTCAGAGATCTCAGCACACCTGTCATTTTCCCTGATGGACGCTCCTTACCCAAAGGTATGACCTTTCTATACTCACCTATTCACTCTCTAAGGAAACAATGGATGAGAGATCCACCTGATTTTTAGTTTTTATGAACTTCTCTCAGCCTCCCTTTCCTCCTCTATAGAAAGCATAGTTACTCTGAAATTTTGATGAGTCTTATTAAATGATGGACTTGGAGCTTGAAATCGGAAAAAATTCTATAAAAAAATGTCAACCTCTCGATTAATATCAGCCTCCAGATATTATCCTTGTGATTGTCAGTACTTGAGAAGAGCAGGGTAGAGAAAGAATCATACAGAGTTGAGAAGATATATATATATATAAATGCCTCAAGGCAAATGAAAGAGATCATGAAAGCCCATGTTACAAGTCAATGTGGTCCTTAGAATGTAAGGATTGGTCAGGATCATAGAAGGGGGAAGCTGATACTTCTGCCCTGTTAGGAAGCCACCAATTGGCTCACCCAACGTTGTGTCTGACCATTGCTCTGGCACATGCCAGCCATGTGAATATGGGAAAGATAACCTCACTGAGACGCCAGTATCTCATATGAAAATGGGTGTAGACCAGTGTATTCTGAAGGGTGCTCATGAGGGTTGGTTGAGAGCATGCCTACTCTCCATAGTTTCATGGAAGGTATTGGATGGCTGTGTGTTGTCACTTCATTTGGTGTAAGCAGTGAGTCTCCAATATTTTCTTGTTCTTATTCCTAGGTTCACAGTTTTCTTTCCTAACTGTCACTCAGATGCTTTGTAAAATCAATCTACTCAGATTTCGGGACCCATGCCACTTAGGTGTGCATGTTTTCTGCTGTTTGAGAGACCAGAGCTATAGCCCAGTAGGGTACTTAGTCATCTGTCTCCTAACTGTCCCACAGGTTTCATGGTCACACTCTCCATTTATGGCCTTCATCACAATCCGAAGGTGTGGCCAAACCCAGAGGTATGAGGCCTTGTGGGGAGGGAAGGGAATGATTTGTCATGATCAAACCCTCTTCTTGCTCCCACATCTGTGGATCATGTCCTACCATGATTGGAAAGCAGGGACATGATCCCAACTTGTCCTGGTTTCCTGCTGTTCTCTCTGCAGGTGTTTGACCCTTCTCGATTTGCACCTGGATCTTCTCGACACAGCCACTCCTTCCTGCCCTTCTCAGGAGGATCAAGGTGAGATGTCCCCTGAGTGCCAATGGGGTGGGGACAATGGGGAGTCTCTGTTCAAGACCCAATATTTTGATTCCCTAGTGTTTTTTAAGGCTTCTTCATGTAGGCCATTGTTTGTTGGCTTTTGTGGGTAGAAGTTGTTGTGTGTTTGTGCCTGTGCCCCAAAGTCAGGACACACTGTGGAGAGTTTGATCCACCGCCCTACCCAATGGCCAACCATTTGGGTGAGTTAAACACCAAAATAATAGAAGTTTGGACCACAAGTTTCATTGTGTCTTGGTGTTTTATTCATTTTGGAGTATGAATTTTCAGAATTAGATTTGCATATACAATTTACACTTCATATGCTTGGTTTCCTCAATTCTCAAGTATCTTAAGAGGTGGATTTCTCTTTCTTCCACATTTTCTATGAGCTCATCACCTTTTCTGCTTAATTCCTCAGTGGGCACTTGATGAATCACTGAAATATTTCCGTATATTTAGAATTACTCCTTGTTGTTCTTACTGTAAAGCCATCCGTGTAGAGTTTGCAGCCTGTTGTATAGGGGTGGACACCAGTGAGTGTGATTTCAAGAAGTTTTGGCTTCTACCCTCCAATTTTTGGTCTCATATTAATATTCACAATGGGTGCTCATGTTCCCAATCAGAAAAATTCTACATTTGGAGAGGGATCTCTACCCAAAATCCATGGTATAGGATGAGGAAGCTAAATGCCTCAGAGAAAACTCACTATTCAGGCAACACAGAGCACATACTGTCGTACACTCAAAAACACACCTGAAGTTGCAGTTGAGCTGGACAGGCCATGCCAAGGGGGCTGTTATGAAAGCCCGGCAAGGCTACAGGAATCAGCCTGTGAAATACATATTACCATAAACCTACTAAATTGATTAGTAGGTAGATGTTTCCGAGTCAAACATCTGTGAATTTTACAATGCTGAATCAAATTTCATAGAACAGGCATAAAATAAAATTTTCCATGGAAAAATCATATGTCTTAGATAAAATTTATCCTGGAATTGATCACTTCCTATTAGATACTGGCTACAAATTATGGCACTGACATTGGAGGACAGGAGACTATAAGGTAGCTCAGTTACTGGGTAGGAATTCACTGTGTGTCCAAATGCATTTCATTTTTACAGTTCAACTAATCTAAGTTATATGAAAGTATTAAAAAATTGTGTGTCTCTGTGCCAAGTTCTGTGCTCTGAGGCAAGTGTCTGCTCTCTGTTCAGTGAGAACAGAAAGGTGTTGTTCAGAATCAGACAACTGCAATTGAGACAAATGTCACTCTTTCCATCACTTTTTTACTTTCTCATCACTCATTGAACATTGATGCAAGTTTCTTTGTCCCTGGCACTGTTGGAGGCCATTGGTTGTGGTGGCTACTTGAATAAAACACTGATGGTAACTTGGGAGAGAGAGGGACAGCCAGGAGAGGGTTAAGGGTCATCTGGCCATTGTCCTGAGCCTTGAGGATGTTCAGGCAGAGTAGAAGGAGGACATCCTCAGCAACCTCAAGAATATGAGCGGAAGCAGGAAGTGGGGCTGGACAGGTGAGAGGTGGGTGAGGCAGTAGCCCACAGAGGGTGAGCAGGGAGGTGAGGCCTTGGATACTGCCCTTACTGGTGGAAGGCATGGGAGTAAGGAGGGAGGGGAGTCAGGGAGACCATCGAAGCCTGGAAGAAGAGACTGAAGATGGCAAGAGGGATATTTCTGGAGTAGAAGTCTAGAGATGCTGGTGGACCAAGGGTGTGAGGGGAGGCTGGAGCCTGACCCCTGGGTGGGAGGCAGATGGGGTTGGAGGTTACAGATCCCCAGCACAATGTCCTAATCAGATGACTCTGACATTTGATTCCACCATCAGAATCCTTTGACACCAGAGATATGATCCCAGGGAGTGTGGTCCACACATTCCCATGAAGCCCAGACCAGTGATAACCACACAGATGAACCAGAAATCATCAGTAGAGAGACTCAACCAGCCAATGACTTATTCTTAAAACGGAAAGTGTTATTAGAGTTGATTGTTCAGTGTGCTAGCCTTACCTTACCTTAGCAGAGATTTCATGTCTATGAATATAGAAGTGGAGTCAGAGCTTTCTATAGACGAGTAGGGGCCTTGACAAAGGGCACTAAAGTGTGAATCCAGGCTAGAAGCAGAGCTGTATGCCACCTCTAATTAAAGGAGGTTTCTGAATCTTTGTTCTTATCAGGAGCTCAGGGCTCAAGGCCTCCCCAGCTCAGAGTGGGGCCTGAGACCACTTTCTTTGTCCCTGCCTGGTTCAGGAACTGCATTGGGAAACAATTTGCCATGAATGAGCTGAAAGTGGCCGTGGCCCTGACTCTGCTTCGTTTTGAGCTACTGCCAGATCCCACCAGGATTCCTGTACCCATGTTACTCCCTGTGATGAAGTCCAAGAATGGAATCCACCTGCATCTCAGGAAGCTCCAATAATTCTGGTGGAAGAGAGGACATGTCTGCAGGCCAGCTGCTTGACGTTTTGTGTTTCTGTCACCTGTTCTTGTACACCTTCCATTGCCCCCAAACTGCTTTCAATCTTTTAATCTGCCCTTCTCCCACCTGCCCACTCTCCTGCCTCCTGTCCTGTTTGTTGGCCCTCTGTCTCTCACCTAACCCCAGGCTCCCTACCTGTTTCTTTTTCCATCTGTCTCTCACCTGCCTGTATCTCTATCCCCTGGTCACCTGCCTGCCCACCACCCTGTCTGTCCTTTACCAATCATTTTCCCTTGTGCTGCTTGTCTGTCCATCTGAGTTGCCTACTGTTGCTATAAAAATGACAACAACCTCAGTGGCTTTGTATGACAGAAATCTAGTTCCTTTTGGTTCTGAAAATCAGAGTTCTAACATGGATTCATTGCAGTGTACCCAAGGTTATTGGAGTACCACAGCACATCTGTTACCTGGAGCTATATTGCTGGGCTTCAGGACCCATGGTCAATATTCAAATCCTGCAACACCGTTGAATCTCTCTACTTCTGTCTTCACATCAAATCTTTATCATAAGGACCTTTTTGATAACATTGTGCCCACTGTGTTACTAAGACATGATCATAGTTCTCCCAGGGAGTTGAGGATGTGTACATAAATGAGCCATTATTCATCCTAGCACAATTCCTTCCTGATTGTCACCCAATCTGTCCATGTATATCTCTCCTGAAAATCTATTATATAAACCTTTTCTTCTCTCCCTCCTGCAATAAAGTTCACAAATTTTTATGAAGTGTCTGCCCTCCCTTGAAAGGAAATGGAGAGAAAAGAGATGGGTGAATGGGGGAAAAAGAAGAAATAGGTAACTTCTGATGAAGTGGCACCCCCTTTCTCCACAGAAAAGCCCTCTTCACCATGGCTGATTTTAGGACTGTCAGCAAAAGAGTCTCTGCAAAAGAGTCCAATGTAGATAAACTTCCTATTTTCGTGTCACTCTGTTTTACTTGGCCACTGGCAGTGAAGATACCAGCACTCCAGGTGCTGGACACCCCCTTAGTAGTTTTTCACAAACATATCCAGTATAGTGCTTTGTAGAAGTGTGCAAACAAGGCCTCTGGCCTTGATCTGGGCTTCACAGAGATGTCTACATTTTTAAGATAAGTTACATTTGGGCTCCATGGTAATAGCTGGAAGGGGGAGGAAAGAAAGGGGAGATGAAGCTCTCCCCTTCTCAGGTGTTGTCCTTGAAGGGTTAACTTGCCCAAAACAATGAAAGAAAAATCTGCTTTTATGTGAACTTCTGCAGACTGTGAACTTCTGAGCCCCTCCCTTTACATGCTGGATATAAACTCTGAAACTCCCTGAACATGGGGTTCAGGGGATTGATTGATTACAGCAAAAGTTGTGCCCTCTGAACCTGGCTGCAGCCAAATAAAACTGTTTTCTGTTACCTCTGGTGCCCTGCCTTGTTTGTCCCTACAACACTGAGGAAGGAGAAGATGACATCTGCCTGGCCAGATGCATGCCCACGTACTCCAGGTGGCCTTGTTCATGGGACCCCCTGATGCCCCTTAACTGCCCATGGATTCTGTGCAGCTGACCTTAGAACTCCCTTGTAGTACACAGAAGCTCACATCTGTTGGGGTAAGAAAACAGGCCTACATTTTATCCAAGAGTTCCTACTAAATTAGTTCCTTAGTTCCTACTAAGGTCTTCTAAATATCACCAAGATAGACCCTGAAATGAGCAGCAATGCCACATGGTGGTGCCCTGCACCCTGAATGGCCATCCCCAAACCAATCCTAGGCTCTAGACTGGAAACCATAGACTGAGGTCTGTTTGTAGTGTGACACCACCTTCTGTTCTCTAAATGGGCTTCTCCCGGGGGGGGGGTGGCCACCAGCCAGGGTCCTCCTCTCAGGTTCCTGGTTGCCCTGGACAAATTCAGCCCTGCACTAAGAGGAACCAGAGAAGGCAAGCTGGACAGGAAATGCCTGCTCCAAGGATGAAGGAAGGAGAGTGAGATGGGAGTGTCCTGAACAGGCTGACTGGCAGTCTTCTGGCATCAGGTGGGACAGGAGGGCTCATGCTGGCCATGCTCAAGTAAAGATTTGATCATTACCCTAAACACCGAGTGCTTACTACTCTAAAGAAGACATAAGAATTGAAAGGAATGAGGAAAAAGTTGAGAGAAATGTGGTGTAAATAGTTACATGCTCCTCTGCCCTTGGGTTCTGAAAGGACACAGGATCAGAGGACAAAGAGAAGAACTCTGCCCCTTCTTGATTAATGAATCACCCGTCATGATGTCAGGCAATGAAGGAAGTGGTGGAAAAAACCATGTGGATGAGTGAAGGGGTCAGGCCAGAAGGAACCTTGCAGCTGCTGGGAGAGCCAGCTTCCCCCAGATTCTTCCTGAAGTATCTTGTGTTTTACTCTCTGAATCCTGCATTTGGTTTGGTTTGATCTTGGAGAACTATGAGAAGTGAAAGTAAGGGTCTTCAAGATGTGAACCTTCCCTCATTCTTCATGGTGTGTTGGAGACTGATCTTCCAGAGGCCACCCACCCTCAGGTGGTCTCCTATTCCTTCCCCGACACCCTGTTCTTAGTGTTTTCTCACCTGGTAGACATTTCATTGCTCCACTATAGCTTTATCCCATTTTCCTATACTGATGTCATTTTCTTCATTTACTCACAAGACACTGAGGCTGAGAAATTTTCTTGAAATTGTTGAAAGACTGAAAGAATGAGCTGCACTCAAGAGTAATTGGGAAAAGGATTAATTGCCTTCTTACAAGGAAGACACTGAACTCAGAGAGGATAAGTTGCCAGGTCCTCCATCTCAGAACCAGCCTTCTACAGTCTTTCCTGCCCCACTCACAGACTAGGATACTCTCCTGAGTCCCACTCCAGTGCTCCACTCAGAGCGTGGTCACCTGGATCATATAACAGCATGGTGCATATGGAGAGTCTCAAGGAATATTTCTGAAGCAGCTGGGACTCACACACTGGAGTTGAACAGTTGGGCTCAGATTTGGTTGCCAGTAAGAAAAGATTCTAATCCCACCACCCACTTTCTTTGACCATTTTCCTCTGAACACCTCACATTATGTCTTTGGAATAATAATTTTTTTCATCAAACTGAATGTTTGATGGATTAGGCTAGGAATTTCTTCAAGTGTCAGTTCGTGTGTGTTCTTTATATAGCTTGACCCACCCACTTCCTAGCCCCTAGTTGGTACTCAACACATATTTGTATGCAGTAAGGAGTAGGGAAAGTGAGTCTGTGCATGGCCTTTGCCTCTGTCAGTTTATAAGAGTTAGACCTCCCTGTTTCCCAAGGTGGATCTTTCAGGTTAATTTTTGACTCAGGTCAATTTTTGTCTCACCCTGCTCCCTCCCACGTGTGGGTGAAGCAATCATCCCAGACTTAGTCAGGGCTGGTGAGGGTATCTTAGTGACTATGAGGGAGAGCAAGTGATCTGGAAATTTCTGCACCATAAGTCTTCAAAGTAGGTGATGAGGTTCAGTGCTAAGCCTTCCATTTACCTTTTTGTAACAATAAACTTTTCATTATAAATAATGGCAATAGGTTCTCACAACACAGCCATACCTACTCTATGTTTGATTAGTTACCTCTGCAAATTCTCAAAGTCTGGGTTCAGGTCCGTTCTCCTTCACCAACTAGCATGCAGCCTAGCACATAGTTGGTGTCCAACAAGAATATGTCATCAGTATGGAGAAGGGGAAATGGGTGTGTGCATGGCCATTGCCTCTGTTCACTGATAAGGTTTTGACCTCACTGTTTCCCAAGGTGAAACTTTCAGGTTAATCAATTCTGTACACTGAGATCAAGCCCTGCCCGCACAGTTCACTCTACCACAAGAGGGTGGGACGTTCCTCCCAGACTTAATCAGTGACAAGGGGACAGTGAGTAACACAGAAGCTTGTGCACCATGAGCATCTCTACACTGAGCCTCACCAGATTCCCGGGCAGCATCTCTGGGCTCCTCCAAGTGGCCTCGCTGCTCAGCTTGCTTCTGCTGCTGTTCAAGGCAGCCCAGTTCCTCCTGCACAGGCAATGGCTGCTCAAAGCCCTTCAGCAGTTTCCATCTCCACCA